GCGTTTCTGTTCCTCTGGTGTTCTTCCTAGGACAGTGAATGCCAGCAGGGCTGTCCCGCAGTTGGGACATGCATGTGCACCAAGCAGGCAGACAGACAGTTCATGCCTGCTTTATGAAAGCAGTGCTTTCGATCAACAGTGTTCCGGCCGTGGAGGGAGCAGCCGGTTCTGGTAGACGTTGGCTGACGTGTGCTCAAGTTACTTACTCTAGCAGCCCTCATGAAAGCATGCTCAAATGGATTAACTGTCATTTTTTAATGTATTATTTTCAAATAATTACAGTATTCTTAGATTTTCATGATTTTATAAGTTAAAGAGCATCAGCACCCCAAACTTTCTGTAAGCCATGTATTTAAGCATTTCCTTGTGCTAAACTTTTTCCCAGACCTAGTAATAGCAAAATTATGTAGGTTATATGTCCTGTTTCAGCCTCCAGAATAGATAAGTAGAAGTGTCTGTGGAAGAAAGATCTAACTTTAAACAAATAAACAGCAAATGAAACAGACAAAAATCAAGGGTTGACTTCCTGTTTGTGTTAAATGTGCATATGGACTGTCGTTGCACTGAATGAAATTGTATGGGAGTGGGGCAACAGTGTGTGTGTGAGAGCAGACTCATCCCCATGGAACACTCTAGAGATATTTTTACCTGGTTGACAGGACAGTGAACAATTGCGGAAACTGAACATGTATGTGTGTTTAATGTTTCTATAAAAACTTGCATGTGTTTAGAGTACTGCATCTCTTACTCCCGGGAGAGTGGAGTCTGGTGCATTCTTAGCACCTGCGGTGCTCTTGTGTGGTGCTGGCGACGGTCTGTGCCTTCCTCTGTTCAGGGGACGTCACAGCACTCACTGTTCTTACTGCTGTCTTTGTGGATGAACCTGCTTCAGACAATAAAGCACGTCAGAGCTGTAGAGCAGGGTATGTTTATGCTTCAGGTTTGTCTGCCTGTTTAAGTCACACACTCATTTCCTAACCCATTTTCCATCTTTTCACTTTTTTCTCTTGATTTTAACTGACATTATCCTGTGTTTTCTTAGAACGTATTTCTTTTTTTTCCATAGTTCTATTGATAAACCTTAAAACATATTTCTGATTATTTAAGATCCATTTAAATATTAGCTTTTGAGGGACTGCTTATAAGATACCAGAATGATTGCTTTCTTATTGTAACAGTAGTTGAATAGTTGCTCTACAGGTGCCGATCCTAGATGTTTATGTGTAAAACTGTGCACTGGGCTCAGCAAGGGTTAGAATGCAGAGGAAGCCTTTGCCTGTGCCCTCGAGCTTGCGATGGATAGGCCGGAAGTGCAGAGGGCCATGAAGGTGGTGGTGTGGAGCATACGAGGCCTCTTTCAGAAAATGCATTGAAGTAAAAGCCCTACAACAAGAAATGCTGCTCCAGTCTCAGAAGTCACTTAGGGGTCAGCATGGTTTCTGAGGAAAGGGAGTGTTCAGTAAGCGCGAGGAGCTCTGATCTCTGGTCTGTTTGCCGCTGGCAGCTGAAAGACACCAAGCAGGCTCTCTTTGGTTTTCTTCTCTTACTTGTAAATGTTCTGGTAGAGCATGTGTATTTGCTCTTCATGGAGGATGGACTGTGTCTTTTGTTTTTAGTTACACTTTATGCGTTTTTGTATTTGGTACAGGGTCTCGCTGTGCAGCTCAGGCTCGTAGTGATCCTCCTGTCTCAGCCACCTCAGCTCTGTGATTACAGGTGTGCACCACTAGGCCTGGTTTCGGGGGCAGCACAGCATGTGGTACCAGGGATCAAACCCAGGACCTTGCGCTTGCCAGGCAGGCACTTGGACCACTGAGCCATCTCCCCAGCCCTGTTTTTAGTTACTCTTGAGTGAATAACATCATAATACCAATTTATAAATTGTAAACTTTTGCATGGTGACTCCCAGTGGCAAGTGATGTGGGCAGTCACCTGTTTGTTTTCAGTTCTTTGACACGTGGCAAACATTTAAAATTTTTAGGTTTTCTATTCTCAGTTTTTAAACTAAACTTACATGAACATTGTAAGAGGGGCAGGGGACCCCAGAGTGCTGCCTGCAGCCTCGGTTGTAACTGCAGCCATGAGTCTGATGGGCTTTTCTTAGAGGCTACCCAAAGCCTTGGGAGGTGATTGCTCTGTGTTTTCCTTGGGAAACAGAGAGTTGGTCTGTGGTTTTGCATCTAAACATTTTAGTTCTCTTTTCTGTTGAAACAGCTTTATTGGTCTCCAGTCAGTGTTTAGACTATTAGGAAATTATCAGTCCAAATGCATCTGGCTGATGTGTCTTACTGTTCCTAAATTGGAAGTGAGAAGCTGCTAATTAACTAAATTTTAACCTAGCATATCTGAACACTTCAAAAATGTAATGTGCAATACATACACTAATGCCCTTTGAAATAAAAATTTAAATATATTTTAGCTGTGCTGAATTAAAAGAAAACATTATTGTCCATGTGTTTTGTGAGTTGTGCTTGTGTGTCACACGATGTTTTGGTTTCACTTACAAATACAAATAAAGGCACCTGTGAGACCTGATGTAGAGCAGTCCAGAGATTAACATAGTCTCTGTGGAAAGCCATCTTCTCTTCAAAGGGACCCGACATGTGCACCGTCTGAAGCCTGCGGGTGTTGACAGATAACAGCAATGCAACGTTTAGATACCCTCAGAAGAAGGGACCTGGCAACAGATTGTTTTGAGAGTTTACTCATTGCTTTAAAAAATGAATCACGTACTTAATTCTGTTAACCTTAAGGGTCTAGTTTTATGGTTTAGCTGATAGTCTTTGGACCAGTGGCTTTTCCTATCCAAAGTGTTTGTATTGTCAGAAGTGCTGGACCATAGCTACTGGCTGAAGTGTGGTTTAGTGGAATTTAGTGCTTTCCCTAAAGCATGCTGCTTAAAGCACCTGCGTTCCTTTTGTTGGTTGAATGCTGTCTTATTTTCATTCCTATGTAATTTACCTGCATGGAGATTAAGATAGCTCCTTTTTATTAAATAAGCTTGAAAACAAGACGAGTGTACTAAGTCTTGGGTAGATAATGTTGGATAGCTCCTTTTATAATAAGCATTTTAAAATCTGCCCTGTAAAAACTGGAAAATGTATTTTCCCCTGTATGCAAAGCAATATAGTACTGAAATATTCCTCCTTAATTTTGGTCTGAACGAACAAAAGTGTCTGTGTTTATTCCTGCCTAATGCATCACAAATCTGCTGACATGCTAACCTTGGAGTCTTGGCTGGCGTTAATCAGGCCTGTGCACCGGCAGGAAAGATGCACCTAATGCACTCCATCAGTGCAGTTTGCATATGGAAGTTCTCACAGGGGAGCTGCCCTGTGCCAGCTGAGGGTTACCTGCCCACTGCAGTTATTGTATGTAATTATCGAACCAATCTGTTCAGCCCAGCAGGGCTTAGATGGTAATCATGAAGCAACACTTTGGAAAAGAAAGATGTAAGGCACTCTCCTTTCTCTCATCAGTTATGTGAAGTTAGAGCCACTCTTCCAGCTCTTGTTGAGGAGCAGTACCCCTAGATACCAGTCTGCCAAATGAATGCCTTTTGGATTCTTCAGGTTTAGTCGAGTTGTTTTTGTTTCTGTGAAACATTTTCTCTGGGAGCACGATGGGTATCTCTGAGTTCTGATCTCACAGCTACCTTAAGCGTGTTTTCAGGCAGTGGGATTAAGTGTAGCACACAGCCACGGTTCTGACCATTTGGCAACTTCAAGAGTGTAGCTCAGAGAGGGTTCAGCTTTCACACGTTGCTCTGTTTGGAGTAGTTGCCGTTAGATGAAAGAGCAGTGTTCTGTCAGCAGGCACTAGCGTCTCTCATAGCTGTACATGGAATGGCCTACAGCAAAGAACATTCTCAGATGAAGGTTTACCTAGCATTAATTGTTAAAAAATAGAAATGAGGGTTTTCTGTTGCATTGTGAATCTCAAATTGGGGACCTATTGGATGGTTTCTTAACTGGTGCACATGTACTTTAGGTGGCACAAGCTTATTTTAGGTAACTTCGAGAAAGTTTACATTAAAACTTGGATATTTGCACGTTCAAGTTTGAAATTACAGGGTTTTACAAAAATTTACAAAAAAAGTTTTACAAAAATTTAATTGTTTTATATTTGTTGCTAATGTCCCTTTGTAATTATACCTATATACCTACCCAGAATGATGATAAGTGATTTCAAGATTTGACACAAGACTGGCCTAGTTAGAAGATTTTTGTTTGTGTTAGTTTTATTTTGAGACAGTGTCACTGAATTGCCCCGGCTGGGCTGTGACTTGTGATCTTCCTTCCTCCATTTCCCAGAGTGCAGAGACTACATGTGCACTGCCAGGCATAGTGCCCAGGAGATGTCGGGGTAGTGGACATAGCAAAGGACACTGAGTTAGTGTTTGAGAAGAGTGGAAAGTGATGGGAAATACGCCTCAGCTCTCAAGTGACACTCAGCTTGGAGGATAATGGAAGAAGAGGCCCAAGCGGATAGTGGGGAATCCCAGCAGTTTTTGATGTTATAAGAGTTTTGTCCCGTTAAGGCATATATAGTAAAGGATTACCGTCTTATTTAAACTTATAATTACTTTAATAATTATGAGAAACATGTCATCGTTGCACTATAAATGTCAACATTATCCCTGGTCCGAGTGAGTGATTGAGAGCAGGCTTGGGAAACATTTTGTTTCCCAAAACAAAGTGAGGGGATTTCTCTGTGGTCAGTGCTCACCATTAAAGCATAGCTTTTGGAGATGAACTATGTAAAGCTAACCAGTGGGAGGTGGGCATAGCAAAGGCCCGCACGGTGCAGGCCAGTTTTAGCTGGGCAGTGTCTTACTCGTTCTTTAGATGACCACAGCCTGGAGTTCTGAGCCTTCTTCCTGTAGATTTGCACAGCCACACTTCCATGCATCCACTTATGTACTAACCCATGGACAGTCTATGTATGTACTTTTTTGACCAGCAGACTACATCTCTGTCTTTTAAATTTTTATGTACAAGAAGAGAAAGACAGACATGGAGGAAAGCCTGGCATCCAGTGTGGAGGAGATGGAGCACTCCGATTCCCAGGTGGAGGAGGTCCCACAGACACGTAAGTTGAACAGTTTGTGTATCTTTCCAGTATAAGGCACAAACTGCATTTCCTCCTGCTCGATAAGGGGCTGACATTGGTCATAACATTTGGATGTTTTAAAATAAAATATATAAGTAGATCTTATATTTGTCTAGTATCCTGTTGTCTTCTCTACATACATTATGTTCTTCGCAAGTTAATAATGAAGTTGGGACTAGGGAAGCACTCATTCTGCGGATTTGAAGCATGAGAGTGCTGTAAAGCTGTTGTGAGGGGTGAGCTGCAGAGTCTAGAACTCTTGCCCCCTCCAGCTCACCCTTCTGGCTCTGGGAATGATAATGAAGTCAGAGGTCAGACAGCAAGCAGCTAGCTCTGTTACTGCTGCAGACCTCCACTTACCTGAGTTGCCCACCTGCACCCCATAGTCTGCCAACCCAAGAGGACACAGAATTAAAACTCCATATTGTCACTTTTCCCAGTACTTGGTACACAAGCCTTATAAGCTCGTGCCACAGGCACTTGCAGTAGTGGGTAGCTCCAGAAATGACATTAGCAAGGCATCGTCTGCACAGCGGCAGAACTAGGCTGGACTTCAAGCCGGAGTGCTGAAGGAACAGCTGGGAAGTGTGCTCAGGGTTTCATAAATGATGCTGCTGCACTTGGCTTAGTAAGGAGAGATTGATTTCTGCCAAAGTACATTTTTAAGAAAAGATTTCTCTACTATCTTTCTGCATTTTGTTGATCTATTTATTTTTAATTAACTAATTAACTTTTCATCTTCTTGAGACAGGGTCTTACTCTGCAGTTCAGGCTGGCCTTGAGCTCACTTTGTAGCCCAGGCTGGTCCTCTTGCCTCAGGTCCTAAAATACTTTTTTTTTTAAAATGTATTTGGTACAGGGTCTCACTATAAAGCTTGGACTCTTAGTGACCCACCTGTTTCAGCCTCCCCAGCTCTGGGATTACAGGCGTGCACCACCATGTGCGGTCTCTCCTAAGCAGGCACTTAGCCCGCTGAGCTATCTCACTGGCCCCTGAAATACTTCTTGATTTTTAATGAGAAGGCTTGCTTCTGGTAAAAATGGCCCATGCTGTATGTGAACCTTCTTTTCAGCTCCGGTGCTGGTGCATGTGTATGGAAAGCGCTGGATGTAGCTTGAAGAGAATCGTCTTTATCGTGGCTTTATTAGCATTTTTTCATCACTGTTATGGCTAGAACATCCTTAGGGCTAACTGCACTCACTTAGAGAATTCTTGAGATCCCTGAAGGAGAGTGTGGCCAGTTTAACTCTGGAGGCTAAAGGTTTTGAAGTCTCTTACAAACCTTTTTGTACATCTTCTCTTCTTCTGCTACATCTTCTTTTTGCTACTGTTTTGTTGTGTTTACCCATCTCCCTGTCTGGTTCCTTTCATTGTTAGGAAATGAGGAGGTCCGAGGAGCGATGTATCTAGGCGTGTCTCAGCCAGAGGCTGGCCGCAGCAAGGGCAGTGAAGGGGAGTGAAATTGAGGAGCGTTTGTACAGACAGCAGCAGTCTTAGTTTTTACAAAATCTCTTGAATTTTAAGCCTGCCAGTTTTAGGGTAGCAGGGCCCCTGCCCTGATCTGGTGTGGCTGACGCCCGCTGAGGGAAGCCCAGTCCCCTGTGCGGGAGACTCTGGCTCTCTGCTCCCCGCGGGCTTCTGCGCCTGAACTTTGCTAATGGGCACCCAACATATTTGTTTTGATGGATAAATGATTTTAAATTCTAGTGTAACTGTGAAAAAATGTTTACAGTGCCTAAAATTTTACTATAAGCTCCTTGTATTGATGGTTATTTCTGTAGGAAAATACAGTAGTATTTTTATTTTATGGATTAGAAGAGAGTAGGCTCATAATTTGAAGGAAAACAAATTCATATTTTTGATATAAAACTTAAAGATGACAAAGAATGATCAGATTCTCCTTCATATCAACACTGAATTTCTATTTTCCTCTTACTATCAGAGTATTCATTAAAAAGTAATAATGCCTGAGATTGTAAAATGTTACTCCTTTGGGGGGGGAACAAGGGTTCATGTTTCAAAAAATTATATATATATATTTACATATATATATCAGTTTAAGGTAACTTGAAGGAGAAGACATATTATCTTGAATCTTTTTAAATTTTTAAGAAATATATAATACATTTCAGTGAATTTTGTTTTAGGGCTTTAGATTTTGTGTCATAAATGTGTTTTAAGAATAGCTACCTCTTAACTGCAGCTTTAGAAATGTCAGTTTCTTCATTAACAATTTTATTTTCAAACACAATTTATGGTTTACAATATGGTAAGAGATTTTTCTCACTGTGTGATCTTTCAGAATGCTGTACCTCGCAAAATGGGAGCAACTTTCCTTTAATATCTATTTAGACCATTTTAAAAACGTGTATAATTTTCTTGATATACCTAAACTCATTTAGAATAGCTGGGGGTCTATTGTGTAAGAACACATTCTGAAAGCTTTCTGTGTGGGTATTGTGTGGGCTTTCTCAGAAAAAGAGATGGGGGACAGGGTGGTTTTCAAGAAGAACAGAGGCCTCTAATCCTTTTATTTTTATGCAAGGCATAATTTTTACCAATTGAGAAAATTTGGTTATTTGCTGCAAGTAATTTTTCCTCTCACAAAATGATAAGCCTTAGAAAGCCATGCATAGTCTGGCATTTTAGAACCATGCCAATATTTCAGAACTGTACTAAAATTAGTTAATGTAGCCATGATATTTATGGCTAGTACACTTGTCCCTCCTGTTCGCAAAATGGAGACTGCTCTCGACTCTCACTGGTATTATTTTTAAAGTACCATGGATTTTGGGCCATTCCTGAGGATTCTTTGGGGAAGCATGACAGGTTAGGGAATAGATATTTTTAAGGGCACTCTAGAAAGAAATTTTCCACTTGTTTTTTTATGTTATCCATTACAAGAATGAATACCTCAAACTTGTATATGTTATTTTTCAGATATAAAATTGTACACCTTATTCTTATGATTGAACCCAAGGACCTTATGAAGACAATTATATTTTAAATCAAAGACACAAAATAGTGTTTTCTGTAACAATAGAGAAAATACTGCATTGATACACAGAGCAGTATCTAAGGCTCTTAGAATGATTATATAGTAAATTCCAGGCGGTGATAGCATTCATTTCGAGTCACAGTGAGAAACTTGGAAGTCTATATTAAAGGGAATAAAGCAGCAAAATTTAAAAGTAGAATGTACAAGACCATTTTTGAGAATGGTGCTGCTTGAACAATAGCTGTATGATTGCTTCAGTGTCCTTTGTAGTGTGCCCAGAGATCCATACTCCATTGAAAGGAGATGGTATAGTATTAGTTATTGATGGATTCTTGGTATCCAGTTATGTCAATCTTGCAGTCAAATGCAGAGTTAATTTCAAAATTTTGGAAAGAAAGCCCTAGAAATCTGTCACAGAATATTTTTAATAGAACGTTGTATCACAAAAATTGAAAAACCTAATTGCTGAAAGAACCGTATTATTTATACTACGTATTATTAGTGGCAAGAGAAAAAAATAGTCATATAAGTTCAAAGCTTGCTATAATTAAACTATATGAAAATTGATTAGAAACTGTATCTTGGGGGTAAAAAGTTACTTTTTAAGTAACTAAGCCCATAAGCAGAAAACCTTTAGAGCTGTTTACCATTACATGCATGTGATAGAAATTTTGTCCCGGATTCCGAGAGTGTTTTGTTCTTTAGAGAAGAACTGTTGGGTCTCCTGTGGCTCAGTGCCTTCGCTGAGTAGGAGAGCCGGGCTGCTCTCACTCTGATGCCCCTTCTCTCCCTGGCAGAGAGAAGTTGGGGCGTGGGAAGGAATAGCCACACCTTGTGCCAGCTCTGGGCCAGGGGTCTGCTGTGGTGTAGCCTTCCTGTGCTGCTCCCACAGCTGGAGGCAGAGTGGGGGAGAGTTGGGAGGGCCCCCACCCAGGGGAGAGAGTGAGGGGTCTTTTCCAACCCCAGAGTACTGGGCAGGGGGCCTCCCTAGGAGCTGCCACCTGGGATCACATGCTACATGCCTTTTGGGAGGCTGCTTGACTGGAATCTGCCTGATTTGTGGTGGAAAAGACTGCGTTTATTTTAGCACGAAGTCTAGTATTTGCCTGTGTTAAAAAGCCTAGGTAATAGGCTTTAAAAAGCAACTTGCTTAAAATAAAATTCCTTGTTCCTCATACCATGCCTGCCATCCTTGCTTCCTCCCAAGGGGTCTGTGCCTACTGTCGTTTACATTTGGACTTAATGTTTTTTTATGAAAAAAATGGGGTGGTGGTGATATTTCAGTACCAACAAACTATGTTTTGGTTTTTTAACCGGTGGAGGCCTTATATGGATTAAGACTAGAAAGTAGATTTCGTTAGCATATTTTTTACATATTTAAAAAATCAGCCATTTCCTGAGATTTTCAGGATATTAGTAGCTCTGCCTTTGTGCGAACTTCACCTCCACAAACGATGAGAGTCAGATGCATTTTAAATTATTAATAATTGTGTGTAGAATGTTCATGTTTCTTTTTGTGCTTTGTAATTTTATGACTGTTGATATTACTTTTGTTTTTCAAGGTTCAAGAACCCGAAAAAGAATCCAGAAGTAAATCACATGGCTCAGAACAACTTTTCTCCATTTTCATTTGACTTTTTCTCCATTTGTGTTTTGCTTTGTTTTCATGTGAGTGTTGTGGGGTGGGTGTAATAATTAAAACCTTTGTCTTTGAAACAAGCTTTTTCATTAAATGAATACGTTGTACAATTAATAGAGGCTAGTTTATAAATTTCAGAATCTTCAAGTTATGTGCACTAAGTGGTCAAATAGTTCAGGTGGGCATATGAGAAAAATTGCTTGGAATCTACTTTCCCAATCATTGTGCATTTCCCAGAGTGGCTAAAAATTGTTGGACAGAATCTTCACTTTTAAGGAAATGCAAAACTTGAAATAAAGGTCATTTTTGCTCAATACAAACAACAACTTGCTGTGGCAATAAGGTTGGTTTGTGTGGATTTTGTTCTTCATAGTCATAGTAAGCAATTTTGGAGCCCCTGCTGTGAAGGATAGGAGCGCAAAAAGGGCAGGCCTGTGAAAGCAGAGTGGGGTGAGCGCAGTGTGTCTGGAAGACAGGAAGTATTTCAGAGTTAGACTGCAGAAGAGTTACGTCAGTGTGCCGAGCAGCCAGGCAGCAGATTATTGAGCAGTGGCCCGGTCAGCGATTGTGTGACGTTTGGCTTCTTTAAAGGAAGTCTTGAGAGCTGACCTTATGCAGCCCATTGTTCCTGCACACAGTTTCTCTTACAGGTTTTATTTTTGTAGCAAATGATGTTTTTACAGTAACCAAGCACAGTAGAATTCCAGGGATTAGAAAGTGAAATGTGCAAGTTTTTAAGTTGTCTTGGGAACAGACTTCAGAATTTAACATATCTCTGAACAATTTCAAGAAGCATTCCTAAAAATTTCTTTTGTTAGTGAAATTGGGGGTGAATATATTTTCTAGCAGATAGAATAACAGCCCTGTAGTATGTACAATGTTTTAGGTAGTGCATGGGCACAGTCTTATTTAAATACCTTCATATGTATTCAAAACATCACTGGCACATTAAGTTTCGCTGTTGCTTAGGTCAAGCCTAAAGTAGGTATTTCAGTTTTAGAAAGTGAGTTGATTTGAAGGAAATATTAATTCATAGACAGGTGGATGTATCAAAAATTAATGGGATTGTACCGGGTTTGAGGAAGGAAACCAACATAAAGACTAACTTTTGGCTCTGTGCTGTGGATCGCTCCATATCATGTGAAGTATTTATCACTCTAATGGTTAGATAGTAAGAGACAGATCTGCAGATTTCCTTTTGAAGGTTAATCTCATGCCACCTGATGTTCTAGAATTATGTTTCGTTGTGGAATAGAGAGTAGGTTTAGGGCCAGGACTTCCTGCCACATGTTAGATGTAGTACTCATCAGTGTTATGGTCCCAAGTTTATTTGTAACACTTAATCAGCTCCCATGTTCTGTGTTAAACACATTGGTGCTTAAAATAGGATAAAATGTGTGTGATGTGTTTTTGTATATATGCCTTAGCCTTTTTTATTTTTCAAAACACAAAAACATAGCAAAACCTGTTGGTTAAATATTAAGAAGAAATACCTCCTCACGTACTGTTTTGAGCAAGTGCTCACCTTTTCTTGAATGTTACTATGTTGGTGGGACTACAGAAATTAATGCAGAACTACTGGCCACAGGAGCCAGTTTAATTTATTAACTGTGTCCTTTGTTCCGCTCTGCTTTTTATTTCTTCTTACAATGATTTTTATCTATTATTGTTATTATTATTATTTTTTAAAAATTTTTTTGGTGGAACTGGGGATTGAACTCAGGCCCTTGCGCTTGCCAGGGAAGCTTTTATTCCACTGAGCCATCTCCCTGGCCCCTTCTGTTATTTTTTTAAATTAACTTTAAAAAGAAAAAAATAAAAATTTCTTTCTTTTTTTTTTTTTTTTTTTTTGCAGAAATGGGGATTAAACTCAGACCCTTGCGCTTGCCAGGGAAGTGCATATTCTATTGAGCCATCTCTTGGGCTCCAAAAACAAAATTTCAAAACAAAATAATAGGAGGGTAACAGTGGTCAACACATTATGTATTGTTATCTTTAAAGTAGTTATCCAGCATACAAGATACATACATTGAATTGTTCAAAAAATATTAACTTTCTTTTTAATGATGTAAGAGAAGATGGTAGTATTACTGGCTTAACTATCATGTGTGTGTGTGTGTGTGTATACACACACATATATACACACACACACGTGTATATATATATATGATTGCTATAGTGGTGTGTGTGTGTGTGTGTGTGTGTGTGTTTTGCTTTTCCCTTTTTTTCTCTTTTCCCCCACTCTAGCTTCTTTTTCCTTTTGAACAGTTTCTTCACATTTTCAACAGCTGTTATACGTTTTGGATCTTATTTACTTTTTCAGTTTCTTACACTGGGGAAACAATATGTTTGCACATGAGCGTCTGGTTTGTTTCACTTGTGAGTATGTTCTCAAGTTGCATCTATTATAAAAATTTCCAATTTATCTTTCTTTATGGCTGAGTGGTACTCTAAAAAGACCACATCTTTTTTATCCATTCTTCAGTTGATGGACATTTGAGTTGCTTCCAAGATCTAGCCATTAAAACTTTTGCTGCTATAAGCATAGGTGCACATGCATCACTGTGGTATGACGTTCATAATTCTTCTGGGAAGAGCCCCAGAGGGGGAATAGATGGATCAAATGTGACCTCCAGTGCTAGTTTTTTGAGGAATGTCTACACTAATTTCCACAGTGGTTGCACCAGCTGACATTCCCAGCAGCAGTGGAGAAGGATTCCTTTTCCCCCACAGCCCGTTCAGCGTTTGTTATTGATGGATTTCTTAATAATAGCCATTCTTTTCAGGGTGAGATGGAATTTCAGTGCTACTTTGATTTGCATGTCTCTAATCACCAGTACTAGTAATGTTGAACATTTTTTCATGTATTTACCATTTGTATTTCTTCATCTGAGAAATGTATATTCATTTCAGATGCCAATTTTTGGATTGGGTCTTTAAATTTCGGAGGACTTTTTTTTTTTTTGAGTTCTTTATATGTTCCTGGTAGTAATCCTTTGAGGAACAGCTGGCAAACATTTTCCTCCCCTTGTGGGTTGTCTTTCTCTCTCTCTTTTTTTTTTTTTTTTTTTTTGGTGGAACCAGGGATTGAACTCAGCCCCTTGCGCTTGCCAGGGAAGTGCTTATTCCACTGAGCCATCTCCCCGGCCCTGTGGGTTGTCTCTTGACTCTTATTGGTGGTTTCTATTGCTGTGCACAAGCTTTTTAATAAGAAGAGATCCCTGTTGTTGGTTCTTTGTGATAGTTCTGTGTGATCAGAGTTTTATTCATAAAGTCTTTGCCTATACCATTGTCTTCAAAATTTTATCTCTTCTACCTGCCAGCAGATTTAGTGTTTCTGCTTTAATATTTATATCTTCGATCCATTTCAAATTTAGTTTAGTGCATGATTAAAGATAAGGATTCAATTTTAATCTTAAACATTTGTAAAGCCAGTTTTTCTAGCACTGTTTATCAGAGAGGCTCTCTTCCAATGAATGTGTTTGGCATCTTTGTCAAAGATAAGGCTGGCTATGTATGGAGCTGGGTCTGCATCTTCCAATCTGTTCCATTGATCTTTGGTACTGGGTTTTTCCCCCAGTACCATGCTGTTTGTATCACAGTAGCTTTATAGTATAATTTCAAGTCAGGGATTGTGAAGCTCCCTGCCTTGTGTTGTTGCACAGAATTGCCTTTGCTGTTGTAGGTCTCTTCTGGTTCCAAATGAATTTTAGGATTGTTTTCTCTAAATCTGTGAGATATGCTGTTGGAATTTTTGTCAGAATTATGTTAAATCTGTAACAGTTTTGGAAGTATGGCCATTTTTACTATACTAGTTCTTCCTACCCAAGAGCAAGGGATATCTTTCCATTTTCTGATACCCATTTCAGTGTACTGTAGTTTTCAGTGTAGAGGTCTTTTATATCCTTGGTTAGATTGATTCCTAAATATTTCGGTTTTTGGAATGCTATTGTTAAAGATGTTGTTTACCTAATTTCTCTCTCAGTGACTTTGTTATTTGTGTAAAGGAAGGGTTGTTGATTTTTGAGTATTGACTTCATATTTAGTTATGGTACTGAATTTGCTTATTAAATCCAGTGTTTTTTTAAATGAAGGTTTTGGAGTCTTCTATGTAGAGTACCATCTTATCTGCTAATAATATTAAGTTAACTTCTTCCTCTCCTACCATTATTCCTTTTGTTTGTTTCTTTCTCTTGTCTGTTGTTCTGGCTAAACCTTCCAGGACTGTGTTGAATAAGAGTGGAGACAGTGCAAATCCTTGTCTTGTTCCTGATTTTAGAGTGAAAGCTGTCAGTTTTTGTCCATTTAGTATGGCATTGGCTATTGGTTTGTCACATATGACTTTTATCAGATTGAGATAAAGCCATTTCCACTTTTTTGAACCGGGTGCTGAACTTTGTCAAAAGCTTTTTGTGCATCTGTTGAGATGATCATATGATTTTTGTGCTTAGCTTTGTTAATGTGGTGTATTACCTTTATTGATATTTTTATGTTGAGCCATCCCTATATCCCTGGAATGAATCCCACTTGGTCACGGTGTGTGTATAACCTTGGTGATTTGCTGCGTTGTTTGCCTGTATCTTATTGAGGATTTTTGCAGCTGTGTTCATCAGAGATTGGACAATGGTTCCCTTTCTTAGTGTGTCCTTCTCTGGTTTTGTTATCTGGATACTGTGTGCTCCCAGGAATGAATTTGAACATACTGCTTCCCTTTAAAGTTTGACAAGTAATGGTCGTTAGGTCTTCTCTAAATTTGTTGTGTAATTTAGTAGTGAATCCATCAGGGCCTGGACCTTTGTGTATATCCTCCAGTATCGGGGATTGAACTCAGGACCCTGCGTTTGCCAAGCAGGCGCTTATTCTACTGAGCTATCTTCCCGGCCCCTGTTGGTAGATTTTTAATTACATATTTGATTTCATTGACTGAGACTGCTGTATTTTATTCAGCTTTGGTAATTCATATGTATATAGGAGTCTCTTCATTTTTTCTGCATTCTCCATCTTAATAAAATA